ATATATATATATATATATATATATATATATATATATATATATATATATATATATGTATATATATGTGTGTATATAAGATAAAGATAAGACAAAATAAGTTTTCTTATTAAAATAAAAAGAAGCAATGAAAGATAATCTCTTAATATCATTAATATAACAATATTATTAACAATTAAAATTTCTAATATATTTTTGCTTTTTCCATTCTTAATTACTTCAGTAATATAAGTATAATAATAATAATAATAATAATAATGATATAAGTTCTCATAAAATTCCAATTAAAATAAAATAATAAAATTATTTTTTAGTTGATTATTCAAAGAATAAAAAAAATGATGAGCATTATTTTAATAATGACGTCATTAAAGTTTTTCATCTTTAAAAAAAAAGAGAAAAATGAATAAATAAAACGCAATAAAACTTTCAAATACTGAGAATAAATTTGAATACTTTTTTTCTTCTCACGTAATAATTACGTAATAAAATCCCAGCATTTTAAAGATAATTTTGATAATTTTTACTCACGGAAATATTTATTATTTCAATAAATTTTAATAAATTTAATATAAATCATCAACAAGCAATAAATAAAATATCTCTTATCAATATTATATTTATAAATTAATATTATAAATATCATAAAAAAAGAAAAATGTATTAAATAATGTTGTAATTATTAATAAGTATAAGAATAGTTAGTCATTTTTTAAATAAATGGACGATAAATTAAAACAGAAATAAAAAAATATTGACAACATTTTAAAAAATATTTAAGATACGTTAATTTAGAAATTTCATTTCACAGAAATGAAAGTAATGATTATTCATAAAATCATTGATTGAAAAATGTAATTGTTTAAAATTAAATTATTATAACAAAGCTCATAGCTCTTAGCGAAATTAATTTTTCAATTAATAAGCTTTTTTATTAAGAATTTCTTCTCATAGATAATACCATTTATATGCATAATATAGCAATATTAGCAATTCCTCTGACGCTTTAATTCCTATATTCATCGAATGTAAATCATCCTTCTCCAACGATGAAACGATCATCTTTAAATCAAATCAAATCTTACGTATCTTAATTATTGATCAAGAGATAAACATTTTACATTTTCTCTCTTGAGGTGAAATAAATTTTTTGCTCTCAAGAACAATATTTTCATTCCTTTTTTACCAGAATTACTCTTAACTTTTAACGACCATTACTTGGATGAACCAGTTCCATAAATTAAGGAATAAACAACCACCAGATAATTAACAATAATTGCGGCACGATATTTGCTTTTTTTTTTTTTTTTTTTGTTAACGTGAAGACACGACAGCAACGAATCCTCGATGAAAAGAAAACGCAACAGCCGCGTTAGCAGCATCATTGAAATAATCATTGACGAAACGCATATATTAAATAGTATCGAAAAGGGAAAGTTTAAAAAAAAAAAAAAAAAAAAATTAAGAGCACAACACCATGATTCTTTTATCAGAAAAAAAGAACAAAAAATTTTTCTTCTTCATCTTAAATTCTAATTATAATCTGATTCTGAAAATTCTATCATTTTCTAACAATAACGAGTAAGTAATTATAGTAAACTTAACGCAGCCTCGGGTTTCAGGAATCCGTTGGACAGCAGTTTAAAAATACAGCATGTGGACTCTAGGTAGATCGGAAGTTCGATAACGTTGAACGCCTTTTTCTGAAGCACAATCGTTAACCATGTTTCATTTCACGTTTCCATTCGCGAAATATAAGAAATTTTATCAGCGTACACGATGTCATAAAGTAGTCGTAACATGGAACAGTATTCTAAAAAAGATAGGATACAAAGGATTCTTAGGAGATTGAAAGTATCTATGGACACCTACACCATGTATTCGATTTAATTTTTCTTTTTTTCTTTTTTTTAAATAATTTACTTTTAGAGAGAGATAAGATACCTAGAATTTCCTAGAGTACCAGTTGCAAAGATCAGAGGATTGAATAAATTTTTTGAAAGCTATGCATCAAGTCAGCAGTTTGCAGATGAGAATTCTATGTAAAGTTATTTTTTCTTTTCTTTCTTTTTTTTTTTTTTTTTTTTTTTTCCGTTAAACGAAATTCGATTCGCCTTACCAAATTACTCGACTCGACAAGTCGATTTTTAATAAAAAATTTGATTATTATTTGTTCATTATAATATATATACCGAGCATAAAGATTCTCGATAACTTAATTCTCCACTTCGAAATAACCACACAATTCCAACAATTTCATATTGGAAATTTAACATCTGAACGTTCATCAGGATCAACCCTAAACGACGATCGATGTCGAAGTTTGAGCAGAGAGCGTTGGCTGTGGTGAAACTTCGTCAAATTTCGCGACTAGAGTTCAACAGGTCGGCACAGATCGATGGAAAAATTATTGACACAGAGAGACAACGACGAGGGTCAATCAGCAAATATCCACCTCGAGGTTCCATATCCGTACAGCGGTGGCACGTCCATGATGTCGTGACAGAACAAGAAAATTCCAGAGGAACGATGAATTTCGCGCGTTTCAAACGTTTTCCTCTTTTCCTTTCCATTTCTCGTAAAACTTTTTCACACGTCGAGCTTCTGTCGAAGACTAAAACAAGTAAGCTCCCTCGAGCTTACTTTGGAACGTTTGATGACCATTGAAGGAAAAACGCGTTTTTAAATTCGTTAAAAATTGTCAATATTTTAACGTTTCGATCAAAACGTTTCGAAGTTCAAATAACGAGACTTATACTCGCTGAGTTTGTATGCGTGTGTATATATATATATTATATATGCGTGTATGTGTGTGTGTGTGTGTGTGCGAGGAATTCGATATATCTATCTCACTTCCATTCAAGCGGCTTTTTAGTCGCGTATATTGTATAATATACGCATAACATCGCCAATGATAATGGAAAGAAACATAATATAATTTTGATCTATTCGAAGCAAGCGAATATTGTTCTTTCATCTGTGATAAAAGATGATGATCCTTAAAGGAATTTTAAAAATCTGTTTTTTATATTCCCGTAACAACTATATATATCAATATATATATATATATATATATATATATTTTTTTTTCTTCTTCGACCAATCAATGTGTTAATATTATGAAAATTATAATTTAAAATCTAAATTCTTAGACTTTATATCGTTCATAACATTATATTCGTTACGTAATTATTATATTTCTGCGTTAAACTGTAAGTTCAACTTTTTTTTTTTTTTTTAAATTTAAAATTTCACTTGTAAAACGTAATTTAATACTTCAATTTTATCCGTAAATTCATTTTCCATTTCTATTATATAATTTTTTCATGTGTACATACATACACGTTTTCTTTTTCCAATTTCGTTTCTTTTCTTTTATGATAAAATTTATGGAGATAGGAAGAGGGGAATAGGAAGTATATCGATCCGAAATTGCCATAAATTTCATAAAGCTGGCTGCATATTCGTATACACGGGAACAAAAGATATGTTGAAACATACGAATAAGAGAGAAAGAGATCCAACGAGAGACAATGAGACAACGAGAGATTCGATTTCATTCACCAGACTTTTATGCAGTCAATCTGAATCAGTAGCTGCATCAACTTACAAGCAATCGCCGCAACCAAAACGCAGTTTTTCTCCTTTATATTTATTTTTCCCTTTCCCTCGTTTACTTTTCTGCATTGCCACTATTTATAAGAAAATAATTTTATTCATATCGAAAATTTGAAACTTCTCTTGTTCGAGGTGTCATTTATAATTATTTATTTAAGCTTAATTTATTTTTAAACTTTAATATAATATTTTTTTTAATTAATAATTTTATATGATTTTGATTGCACGTTATATATTCGTAAAAACAAAAGAAGTTTCGAGTATCATAAAAAATTACGAATTTTCGATCATCGAATGAACGAGATTACGTTAAAAAAAAAAACGCGCTTTCGCCGTGAATGAAAGTATTAGCATAACTATTAAAGGTATCGATTAAGTATATAAGGGCCCAGTGATGCAAACAATTAGTAGCATCTTTCTCTTCCTTTCTCGTGTTGTATGCACGACCTGATATACATCATCAGTAGTACGATGTATTGTTGTGTAGATATAAGATTAATGACCGATTGCCATCGTCCACATATACATTTGATCCATGAGTTTCCTCGTCGCTCAGCACCACAATTAATATTTCTTGCGACGGTGTGTGAAACGATCGTGCTAACAATAATAATAATAATAAAATACGATTGCTTTTTAGCAGTGTAATTCATAAATTCAATAATTTTGTTGAATCCAAGAACGATTATTTCGAATTCTGAGAGTATTTATTTTTTTTTTTTTTTTTTATGTTTAAATCAAATCGGTTTTTATAAAAGTCTTTTATAACATATCATTGTTTTTAATGATTGTACGTTTTATGTATGTTGTTTAACTTAATACGTATTAGGAACTAGTATCATATTATAATCCTAAATTTTAGCCACAAGAATGGAGAATTTATGCTATTTTATAAATGGATATTAACGTTCAATACATACTTTGAACCGAAGGAAAAAACTGCATTTCACAAAATGGTGCAAAGTATACGACAGGAAAAACAAAGTAGAGTAATTTCGATGACCATTGTATCCACGTAGAACTGTGCAAACGGAAATGCACTTGAATGATAAGGCGATGACTCCCAGCGTTCAAGGACCTTGCAACAAAAATGCACTCCTTTCTTGCGCTCCTCTTAACTTATATTCTTATATTCTTTTAAATAAACTAAATATGTAAAAATCACGATTCATACATAAACGACCTTTATCCGCGCCTTTTTATTTTAATTGAATTTCGATATTTTTTACTACTTTTTTTCTTTTTTTGTAGAAAAATAATGAATACTTAGTTTGTATATAAAAAAATAATTATTATATTAAATCTTATTATTTCCTATATTTTTAGAATTTTTGTTGTAAAAATAATTGTGGACGTACGATATATGTATTTTAATTTGAATTTTGCAAAATATATTGTTGCTTTATTTATGGCTTCTTATTTATGAATAAACTTACCTTTTTTTCTATGAATAATGAATGAATCAAATAATCATAGTTGCTGCATTTTAAGATAATATACTTTGAAATATTTAAACGCATAATGGAATAGGTTATTAAAAGAAAAATTTGATATGATATATTTTAAACATATTTTCAAGTTCTATTTTATGCAATATGAGCAGAATCCATGATTATGATCCTCTATATCAACTTAAAACTTTTACATAAAGATATGAGTTTATATGAAAAATGTTTCTCTTCAAAAAAGTTTTCCTTTTAGAAATTTTCTTTTTTTTTTTTTTTTTTTTTTAAATATAATTCAGTACCATTCGAGTAATATGGTACATCTTGAAAAAAATGCTCAATTATTATATTTTATTAAGGTAAGTTTATAATATTAGGATATATGTGATAATCAATATTTTAAAAAATGAAGAACATATAAAAAATAATCATGCAAATATATAAAAATGTTCTTCATTTCTATGCAATATTTTGCTTTTAATTTTTTTATTGTTTTCATTATCACTATTTTATTAATTACTTACCATTTCTCATTAGATAGCATGAATGTATAGTAAAAAGAGAAAATATTTTGCATGAAATATAAATGTGAAATGGTGCTTAATTCTCAATGACCATCTTGGAACATTCCAAGATAATGAAGAACTAAATGAGCCTGTAGTAAAATCACAACACTTCCTTCCAAAATTATGAGCTAGATTTTATTACATTACTTATGAAGCATTACCTTCACTTTAGATACTTGAGAAATCTCTTCCTTCTTCACCCTCAGTTAAAATGTACGATGAAAGATAAGAAGTTGATGAGAATAAAGACGACCAAGCAGCAAACAGTCCATCAGCGAAGGATAATAAAATGAAGAAGTGGAAAAGGAGTCAACTGCACCATGTCATTGTACTAAAGTCCACTGATGATGCTGATACCTGATCTTGACACCTAACACACACTCAGTTGCCTAAGATCCTGCAACACACATCATTTTTTCCATACTGTACCTATAAACCTCTTACAACAATCGCATACTGTAACTATAAAATAAATATTAAGAGTTTTAATTTTATATAATTCTAAAAATTATATTATTTGAACCATTATAATGCATTTTATACATTGCTTCTTAACTTTGAAATTTTTAAGTTTTCCCATCATATGTATTAATTTTTGCAAATAGTATCATTTTAATAATGATAGTATCATATCATCAATCATATCATTTTATTAAAATCCAATATTATATAATTTTATACAAGGCAAAACAATAACATAAATATATATATATATACACACACACATATATATATATATATTTAAATTTATTTATTTGAGTAAAAATATTAATAAAAGTGAATAAAATTATTTTTATTCAATTAATTTCTACATAGAAAATATTCGATTTTAAATAATAAGATATAAAAATTGATATATAATAAATGTATCTAACGATTCTTTATATTGATATATATATATATTTGAATGTCTCAAACATTGTAGTAATATCATATTTAATACAATAAAACATTGTTAAATTTCGACACTTCACAATTTTCAAAGCACGAAAAAACTGTTTATAGAAAAAAATATTTTCTTAACTATAAAAAAGATGATAAAAAAGTGCATGAATTAAATAATTTTACACATGATAAAACTAAACTTCAAAACCAATAATAAAATTCAAAGACAAGAAGAAAAATTTTTTATTACATTGTGCATTACCCATTCGCCATTTTACTTGGAAATGTTGATCGAAATATTTTGAGAAGCACACCAGAATATTTGACTCACCGAACTTACTATGCAAATACGGCGTATCTCATAAGGAGAATGCTGATTATAGAAGCCGTAAACAAATTTAAACACGACAACAAAGAAATTTTCGCTTTCAATGAACGACAATTGCTTCCTGTCTTCAGCCAATTCTGTAATGGCTGTCGTTTTCCGTGCAATCGGTTGTGAAAACCCCGCAGTCGTATTATTCACTATTACCAATATTTCATAGTTAAATTCGATATTTCTATTTCAATATTATCTTGTCACTCTTATATTTATATAATAATAATTAAAATACAATAAATTAAAAAATCTAAATTTTATTTTAAAAGTTATTTTTAATATTTAATATTAATAAAAATAGGTATGTAACATTGATTGTATAATATATTAAATTATAAAAAATTTTTATATCATATTTTTCTATAAAATATATATAAAAAAGTTATATCTATTTAATATCTCTATTATAATTATGTTTTTGATATAAAGAACATGAAAAAGTATGAAAGCAGATTTTCAATTTGGCAACACTTATTTGGCTCGTGAACAATTCGTGATATTCGAGAAAACACGAAGTAGTAAGTAACCGATTGCGCGGGCAGACGTTAGTGCGTAGGAATTGTAGAGTGTAATACGAAGAAAAATGGCGATGGCAACAACTCAAGTTAAAGGAAGCGGATGGCCGAGGAGAGCCAGTAACAGTTCGTTTGAAGGGAAAGTTGTACAGAACCAGTCTGTAACTATCAACAGGACAGTTAACTTGTAAGTGATAATCAATATGTGACTTAATTACATTATTTTTTAGAGTTAATGTTTTGACTGCCTCTCCTGTAGAACAACTATGGCCGGTTAAGAGACGCTAGCAATTAAAATTATGTTCCTAACACCTTTCAATGCATCTTACATGGTACAACCATGAGACGGCTGTTCATCTTTTCGTTAAGTACACATGGAAATTTTAAGCAATATTTCATTGAAATCATTATTATTCGAATCATTATTGATTAATGATTTAATAATTTATTTTTGCTTATATTTATCATGAAACATAACCAATTATTTTAAAATGCCATGAAATTTTTCATGTAATAAAATGTTTACCATAAATTATTTTTTCACAATTGTAATATATATATCTTCATTGAATTAAAAATGAATTAAATATATGATTTTTTGCTTAAAATTCCAAATATAGAATAAAATGATGTCTTTCGTGCTCTATTTGCACAAAATATAAGCTTCTGATTATAAAGAAGTTAAAGACATTTAATTTCCATTAAAATTATATTTGTACTTACCAAAATTATAGCCATCGTATATAATGTACATTGGCCTCTTTTATACATTGAATGTATGTTTGCGTATGAAAATATGTTTTGTTATTTTTTATAGTCACAATAATAATGTGACTTTTAATTTATAATGCGTATATATTTGAAGAAATAAATATATTGTCATAGTTTATTGTTTCTAGTCATATACTAATTATTTTGATATTATGTATAGAAAAAAAGTATATAAAGCAAACAATTTTTAAAAGTTAAACTATTATGATCTAAGATTATATATCTCTTAATAGATAAAATTACAAATGTTTATATTTTTTTTATTAGTAAAATGAATTTTTATGTAAAATAAATTTTGCAAAATAATATTTTTTTATATCCAAATTATCATAAATGTATTTGTTACAAACAATTCATAATTGTATTTATTTGTTATACTTTTAAGAGATCACATAATGTGCACAGATATTGTGAATATTTTAAATAATCTTTTATGAAATGAAATTTTTATAGAATATTACATATTACATTTGAGATTTATATTGTTTATTGACTGCGACATTAATAATGCTTCAAAAATGAAACAATATACTGAAGAATGTAACATATTTATTATATAAATATATTTATTTACAAAATATCACTTATAAGTGAATAATAAATTCAGATTATATAATGTAAAAAATTAATTGTATAGGTATAAGTATCTTAATTACTTATTTATATTTTGATATTTGGCAAATTTATAGTTATATAATGTTTAAAGATATTAAAAAGTATTACAAGATATTTATTTGATACGAAAATTGTTGTGGTTTATTCACATATAATTTATATATTACAATATGTCAATGCATATGTCACAATATATTACATAAAAAAAAAATTTTTTAAAAAGATAAATACATGTACTATATATTTCTAAACAAACAATATGATACATTTGATTACTTATAATTAATGTAAACATGTAATATTATAAGCAATATAATGTTTTATACAAAACATATATATTTAATATTTTGTATTTTATAGTTAAGTGATTATTACATATGAGATCTTTATGTAGAAATTTAGTTTTCAAACAAATTTAATTTGTTATTTGATAAATTGATAAATATTATTAAATAACATTGTATTTGTAAATCATACAAAATTATCAATTCTAGCACTTATTTACAATTTTATTATACATATGTGTGTATATATATATATATATATATATATATATATATATATATATGCATATATATATATATT